ACTGAGCCACCCAGGCGCCCCATATACAGAGAATAGTTCTTAAGAGATCTTTAAAGTTGGGGTACCTGGGTGGCTCAGTCGGTTAAGCGTCTGCCTTCGGCTCAGGTCATGATCCTGGGGTCCTGAAATTGAGCCCCGTGTCGGGCTCCCTCCTCGGTGGGGAGCCTGCCTCTCCCTCTCCCTCTGCTGTTCTCCCTGCTCATGCTCGCTCGCTTGCTCTCTCTGCCAAATAAATAAATAAAATATTTTTTTAAAAAAGAGATCTTTAAAGCTAAATGTATAGAAACATACAGGCGTGTACATGGAGGTTTGGTGACAACTAGATTTGAAAATCACTTCTTCATAATTCATGATTTTGTTTAGTTACATTGTTTTTTCTCATATTTTAAAACATGTCTGTTCTGTAACCATAACTTTCATGGTTGTGCACTACATTGTTCTAAAATTAAATGGATTTGCTGGATACCACTAAGCATGGGAAACTCAAGAACAGCCCTCAAGTTTAAGAATGAGAGGAAGTAATCTGCATTCTTTGTAGAAAATACAGAAAATAAAAGTAAGCTAATTGTTCAACCACAAAACAACCTATTACTCTGTTTTTATTACTAGTATGTGGTAAATATGTTTCTAGAGCTTTAAATGTATTTATATATGTATATACCACCATATATACATTTTATCCTTTGTAAGAGTATTATATCTGTTATTCTCTAATTTAATTAATACATTGAGAACATTTTCCCAATCTACAAATTTAGTTCTACCTGTCACTTTACTGGCTATACAATACTCTGATGTGTAGCTATACCATGATTTTTTTGACCCAAATTCCCCATTGTTGTACTTTGACGTTGCTTCATATTTTTAACTGCTTAGATAATGTCCTTCTTATGCTGTTTGTAAATGTGGAACACATTCCCCCCCCTCCGCCCCCGGGACATATTCTGTCTTTGGATCAAAGAGGAAATTAAATCAGAAATGATGTTTTTATTAGTTAGGATTCTCCAGAGAAACAGAACCAATAGGGTATGTGTGTATAAAGAGAGATTTATTGGAAGGAATTGGCTCACATGATCCTGGAGGCTGAGAAGTCCCAAGGTCTGCAGTGGGCAGGCTGGGGACCCAGGAGAGCGGGTAGTGTAAGCTCCAGTCTGAAAGCCCATGTTTCAGTTTGACATGGGAAAAGGGGTAGGGCTAGACTGATGCCCTAGCTCAGTGTAGTCAGGCAGGAGGACCTTCTTACTCCAGGGAGGGTCAGCCTTTTGGCTCTGCTCAGACTTTCAACTGATTGGATGAAGCCCACCCACATAAGGGAGTCTTAATCTACCTGCTTTACTCAGTCCACCAATTCAAATGTTAATCTCATCCCAAAACATCCTCATAGGCACATCCAGAAAATGTTTGACCAAATATCACAGGGTAACCTGTGACATAAAATTAACCATCAGAGTGTCCAGTGTCCATCAAAACTTCTGTCTAGGATTTTCTTTGCTCCCCCTTCCTCTCAACCCGTTGCAACATAGAATCACGCCCATTCCTTCACTCCTTTGTTTTCTACTGGGTGGAGGCCCCTTTATGCCCCAATGTCTTCCTTCCTCCCTTCCTCCCTTCCTCCCTTCCAGAGAGGGAGAGTGGGGGGAGAGAGAGAATCTCAATGTGAGGCTTGATCTCATGACCCTGAGATCATGACCTGAGCCAAAATCAAGAGTGGGATACTTAACTGACTGAGCCACCCAGGTGCCCCCCCATGACACTCTTTCTATACTAACTTTAGACAGTAATCTGGACTGACCTCTTTTGAGTCATTTCTTCATACAAGCAAGGAAGAGTGCACATGCAGGTGAGAGAGGGTGGAGAGACTTTACTACCAGTTATATCCCCAGACCCATTGGTTGAAGATTAAAGGGTCTAAGCTTTCCACAGTGAGTCCTCTGAGTCCTCTTTGGTTCATGGATGTTGCTTGCTCATAGTAGGAACTCAGTTGTTTTTTCAGCAAATAAATGAACATAACAAATGGAAAGTTAAAAAAAGAAAAAGGTTCCAGTACTGTTGTGTGCTGAAGGAAGACACAACACTAAACTGGAAGCTTAACTTAATAGGAAGCAACCATACTGAAAGGTCACCTCACCAAAGTATCATGTTTCACTGTCAGTATGCTCTTTCTTTATGTAGTACTCTTTTCCCTTGGCTTCTGTGATATGCAAGTTCAAATGGTACAAAAATCTTTGTAGTAACGACTTTCCACTCCCAGTCCCCAACCCTCCCTTTATCCTAACTATCCAATTTCTTTCCCCATTTGCAAACACTTATTTCTTTTTTTTCCAAAGAGGTATTCTGTGTATGTAGTAGCAAGTGTGTGTGTGTGTGTGTGTGTATTAAAAAGAGGGAGTCTTACCTTTGTTTAAAATCTAATTACAAATGAAAACAAAAACAAAACCAACTCATGAATCTGTTAATATATATAAGATTTCTCATATTTTATATATATGCTTTTTTTTTTTTTTTTTTTTTTTTTTTTTTACACCGTAGGAGAAGCCATTGTCTAGATCTCTTCAAAGAGGTGAAGATCTTCAGTTTGACCAGGTATGCCAGTTTCGGGGGGATATATTTTCCTGAAAGGAAAATGTTCATCCTAACAGTCTGGTCCAAATATATCCAATATTAGGAAATTATTTTATTTTGTTTAGTGATCCTTTATATCATTACACATTAGATTCAGTCTGAAATTGGTAGTTTTTTAACAAAGTAAATAGAAGGAGTTATGAACTGTGAACTTTATAGTTCATGGAATGATCTGTGAACTTGATTGGTTTCTGTCATTTATTATTTTATGATTTTATTTGACACAGAGAGAGAGAGATAGTACAAGCAGGGGGAGTAGTAGAGAGAGAGGGAGAAGCAGGCTTCCTGCTGAGCAGGGATCTCGATGTGGGACTCGATCCCAGGGCCCCGGGATCATGACCTGAACCAAAGGCAGATGCTTAACCAACTGAGCCACCCAGGTGCCCCGGTTTCTGTCATTTAGCATCTTAAAACTTTTACTTTTCATTGGTAATCTCTTTATTGTGCCCTTTGAAATTTTCTTAAAACATTTCCAATTAACATACCTCAATCTTCCCTGGTGTACCAATTCACACAATTCTCACATAATAATATTTTACCTTTTTTTTTTTTAAAGAAAGGGACAGAAGGGGGTGGACAGAAGAGGGAGAGGGAGAATCTTAAGCAGGCTCCATGCAGGCTCCATGCCTAGCATGGAGCCCGACATGAAGCTCAGTCTCACAACCCTGAGATCATGACCTGAGCTGAAATCAAGAGTTGGACACTTAACCATCCAGGTGCCCCATAGTATTTTAGCTTTTAACTTTTGTTTTTTCTTGTTGGGGCTATCAGAACCTTAAGATAGAATATTAATACCTAAAATTGAGTGTGATATTCCTATAATGTTAATTCTTTCCTCTTCTGTCATAATTATGTTCATTCAAGAATTGTTTTATTATATATTGTTTGCAAAAACCAATAACCCAGATTAGCTCTCCATTTGTACCTAGTATTCCTGTACTACTGTTCTCATAATTATGTATCTGGGAAACAGAGATTAATGTTCATATTAGTTTAATTGACTAGATAAGGATGACTGGCTAGAATTACCTGGTGGACACTTAACAAGATATTGTATTTTCTGGATTCTGACCCAATTCTGAATCAGAATTACCAAGAGCAGTGCTCCAGCACCTATATTTTACAATAGCTCCCAGGGGATTCTGATGCATACACTTAGTGAGTAGCCACTGGCCTAAGAAGAAACCATAGATAGGAAGGCTAATTCTCTGTTAAAGTAATATTAAGATCACTTTATATAAGGCTCTTCAAATCTCAATGCTACTGCCAAAGGTATTAATTATTACTAATTAGTAATTTTTATTTATTTTATTACTATATTATTTTAAAGGTATTTAGATTATTCAGATCTTAAATCCACTAATGAATAAATGTATAATCAGAATTTGAAATCCTATTAAACAGTGTTTTTAAGGAATATATCCATTTGTTGTTTTTTTCTGTGTAAATGATTAATGAAACTTTAAATAGTCGTGCCCCATAGTTCAGTTTTTTTTCCACAGTAAAAAGCCAAGTGTGGTAGAAACTTTATATTTACAATAGCGGATGGTATTTTATTGTTCCTTCTTTAGATATTAAAAGGATTGCCTTTGAGTGATACTGTTCATTGTTAATAAAATATAAATTTGAAAAATTAAATAAAATTAGAATCTTATTTTTAGTTTAATTTCCTATATTAGAAACTATTTACCTGTCAAATTATGGTAATTATAAATAAAAGCATGATTAAAGGAAGGCAGAGATAAGGAAAAAGAAAAAGAGCTTACACAATCAAATAAAACTTTCACTCTTTTCTATTTCCTTGGATGAAGTACATTTTGAAGTTATATGAAGGCTATCAAATATTAGGAAAAGTAAATGTTTAATTCCTAGAGGTATCAATTTATCTTCATTAACTGACACTTTCTACAGTCCTGGACCTGAACAAGACCTTGAGTATTTCTGCAACCCATCATTTTTTAGTTAAGAAAAAAGGAGTGAAGCGTGTTTGACTGTATACTTTGAAATATTAATTTTATGAGCAATGAGTTGCATCAGATACAGAAATTCTCATGAAGAGCGATTTTTTGCTCGAGATCCTCCAGATGAAGAGTGACCCTGGGGACTGCTTGCTAAGGATGGCTGGTGTGCCTCTTAACTGCCGCTCCAGGAACGCTGCATTCGTTTGTGAAATTGATTTGATATTCACCTAGAATTCAGATAGTTTCAGGGATGCCTCAAATTGAATAGCAGTTGTTCCTCCCACTACATTTATCTTTATGCTGTCTGCTTCTATATTCTAAGCTTTAAAAGCTTGTTACAACACATTTCTAATATGTTCATGTGTGGGTGTCACGAATTAATAATGTAATTATAAAATTCTCTGTTCCACATCAGAACGATACAAAGTTTACTTTCGCACAGTTTCTAACATAACATAGTCTTCTCTGTTCCTCCATCTCTTCACTCATTCTAGTGGCAATATTTACAACCTTTTGTTTACGTGAGTATAGAGGAGGAACTGGTCAGGGGGAAGGAGGCAGGTGTGGTTTTCTCATGTTATGCATACCAGTTCTCCCATAGGTATCCTTCTGTATAATCAGGGATATTACTAAGGGTCATGTTTTTACACATGTGAGTAGTATATGGAGGCAGGAAAAAGGTGGAAAGCTGCTAAGCTAAACTGAATGGATGTGGGCAAAGTTTAATAGTGGGTATTATATATTAATAGTGGGTATTATAAAAGTGGGTAACTTAGCCCACTTTGTTACTTGGATAAACCCCTAATTCTTATTTTTATTTTAAAACACATTTATCGCATTTGAGTTACTCTGTTTATCCTAGAAATGTTAATCATTTGCCAGTGATGGCTAATAGGAGTGTGGTACCTTGATGATGTATTTTATCTTCTGGTAATATTTTATGTTTTCAGTTGATAAGCTCTATGAGCTCAGTAGCAGAGCACTGTCTCCCTTCCTTACTTCGCACCTTGTTTGACTGGTACAGACGCCAGAATGGAACTGAAGATGAATCCTATGAGTACAGGCCTCGGTCTAGCACAAAGTCTAAGGGGTAAGTGGCTCATTTTCCACTCTTCTACATAGAATTGAAATCCTTTCGTTGAAGGGGGCAATAATGTTCTCAACCCAAGACCGGTATTGTTTGGTTTCTAAGGAAAAACATTGATTACTTTTGTTATGAAACTGATAGTAAAGGGAAAGCATAGTCCATACTTAACTGTAAATCAAGGGAAGGTACCAGTTAAGGTCGATGGATCTCCATGGTACTCATCACTGGGATAGTTATGCAAAAATGAATTTCAGGAGCATCATTTCAGTACTTCAATGCGGACCTTTAATAGTTGAAGTTAAGAAAATATTCAAAGAAGGTCCCGTTCCTATGGTTTGTGAAGGGAAGCAATTGTGATACAGAAGGACTGCCAAACCCTATATTATGATACCGTGAGACTCTCCTTGGTACTCAAATCCCAGAACTTCTCTTTCCCTTCTTCGAATTTGCCAGGGAGGTGGCTTTGCATAGAACATCTGTCTGTGTTCAGGAGATGATCCATTGTTTGGAATTGGACTTTATTTGATGCCACTTGTGATTTTTCACCTTAGATATGCAAGAAGTTAGCTGGCACTCTATTTTCATCAGAAGAGTTACTACTTTTATTTCAGTTCTTAATTTAAAAAAATACTAATCAAATATGGAGTAATGTTAGATGTTCTAAATAAAATTTAAAATATTTTTCTTAACTGATTGCTTTAGAATGGGTTTAATTTCTGACAGATATAATAGTGACGTGTTCATCAGTACTGTACGAAATACCCAACAAGAGAAAGAAAATGAGAGTGTACATACATTGGGTAATGTAAAAACAGCTTGAACAGTCAGCTGCCATAGGACACCATACTTACGAGGAGCTCAGTAAATAACCGAACTGTTAACCAATAGCTATTTTAAGATTTATGGTCTTAAGTGCAATCCTAATCTGGGGTTCTTGTTTCAGGGATGAACAACAACGTGAAAGAGATTATCTTCTTGAAAGGAGAGACTTAGCAGTAGATTTCATTTTTTGTTTAGTTTTAGTTGAAGTTCTAAAGCAGGTAAGAAGCTCTTTTGTCTGCAGAGTTTATGTTTCTTATTCTTATTTTGCCTTCATGTTTCATTTACCTTATTTAGGATGTTATGTCTAAAATTCTGGCCCACGTTAGCTAGATTTCTATAATATAATTACACGTCCTTCAGGTGCCTGGGGCTTTCATGGATTGTACCTATCACTTCCTATTCTTTTTACCCTTGTAAAATGCCGTCTAAGATAGGAGATCTTGTTAGCAAAATTGAGCTGAATGGAAATTGGGTTACATGTGGGCCTTTAGCTGTGAATATAGTCTGCCTGTCATTCGTCGACTTCAGTCCACTTTCAAAGAATTTCTCTTCCGAAGCCATCAAGCCTGCGTTCCAACATGTAGTAATTGTGCAGTTACAGTTAAGGGATAGGGGCACTTTGACATGGGGAACACTGAATTGTCAAGTGCGAATGGTTTTTGGACAAGTGAAAACACCTCAAGATAATGTTTTAATGTCTATTCAGTGTTGGTTAGGATGCTGGCATGTGCTCACGCTGCACTCATGAGTTTAACATCCGAAGTCTGGTATCATGTATATTTTTATTACTAAAAATCAGTACAGGTATACATTTAAGTACATATAAATACCTGTACTGATTTTGAAAGGGTTTTTTTTTTTTTTTTGGGTCCATTTTTGTTTTTTTATTTACTAAAATCAACTACTTTGTTCAAATGCATGAAAGTATTCTTAAGTTTGTAGTCTTTAAAAAGTTATCAGTCAAACACAAGCCACATATTTCCAGCCACGTACACTGTGATGTTTTGAAAAAGTTAGGAAACCTAAAAGGAAAAAAAAATCACATTTTGCATATGACCTGTTTGGACAGGGATTTTGTTTTTGTTATACAAAATGAAGTAGAATATATAATATGAAAACAAACAGCAAATGTTAGCTATAAAGTTAATTGACAGCCAATTTTTTTCGACAGAGGCAATATAAAATTATTTGAATGATGTATTTCTTTATACTTTGCCTTTGTTTTTGTAACATGTGAAAAATCATTGAAATCTGAATATCTGAAATCTGCACATAAAAGTTTGAAATGTGAAAAACAGATAAGTGAGTTAATCGAAGGTGAAAATCATTTTAATTAATTTGTGCCTTTCATAAAGGTCTTGCCCTAGGTGTAGGAAAGAAATTTCCTCTGGGAGTTATGCTAACAAGCCAGGTTTGCTTTCTGTGATCTCCGTTTCGCTGGGATCCTAAGACCCTGAGGCCAGCGTAATTAGGGATAGAAGAGCTTTGGACCAGAGCGGCCACTGACCATGACTAGACTTTGCCTAGGACTCATTGTGGTTGACCTCTAGCATCTCCTGTGTGCCCATGTAGGTCATGTGAGTGATTTGGTAACCAACATTTTGCACTTCTTTGCTTGATTCAATAATACAGGTTTTCTTCTTTTAGCAGGAGAAATTGTAAGTTCCCCTAGACATTCAGGCCCCTCTCTGATCTGGTGGCTCCATGGTGCCTTTTCTCCTTTGTTTCCCAAGACATTCTTTTACTTGCCATTCGGTGTCTCCTCTGAAAGGTGCTCCAAATTGCAGTTTCAGGGCTTCCGTGCACAGAAAGCCCTATGTCAGTTTCTCTCTCTCCTCTTCCCCTCTCCCTCCCCTGTCCTTTCGCCTTCCCCATCCTCTTGGTCTTCATCCTCCTTCCTTCTCCTCTTAAAAAATAATCCAGATGGCTCTTCTGGAGGAGAGAATCATTGGATCTATAAACTTCCATGGGGCACATTTTTCAAGTTCATTCCACAAAATCCCTTCAGATCTATGGTTGAAATGGACTCAAAGTATGAAAAAAGAAATACAATAGCTTTTTTTTTTTTTTAAAGATGTTATTTATTTATTTGTCAGAGAGAGCACAAGCAGGGGGAGTGTCAGGCAGAGGGAGAAGCAGGCTTCCCGATGAGCAGGGATGCGGGGCTCGATCCCAAGACCCTGGGATCATGACTTGAGCCGAAGGCAGGCGCCCAACCAATGAGCCACCCAGGCATCCCTACAACAGCTTTAATAGCAAAGCTCTGTTTTTTGGTTCTGTCACCATATTGTTCCAACCTACAGTGGCCTTTCCACTTACTGTTTTCTCTCTTTTACTCATTATCCTCATACTTTCACTCAAATGCACCCATGAAAGAATAAAATCTGTCACAAAGAACACAGAGATACTTTATTTATTAAAAATCTGACGTAGGTGTTTTTTCTTTTCCCCAGTAAAAGGAAGTCTTTTTCACTTCTTCAAAACTAATAAAACCAGAGAAAATGAAGTAAAAATCAATAGAGCTTTCTGAAATATCATGACAAACTAACCCAATTTTCTACTGTGTCAAAGTGATGTAGGGTTTAATAGATCTGGAGACTAATCAATGTAATATATCTTGAATTTAATAGGATTTTTACTTTTGCCCCATATAAGAGACATATTAAAATGTGACTCAGTTTTATTTTAATGAGACGGACGGTCCCAGGAGTACTGAAGTATTGATACATGGTTGGGCCAGTCATAAGGAGGAGTAAATATTCTTTACGGATTAGTCCTTGACCTCATATATTATACGTTTTTTTGTTTCTTGAATAATTTGTCATGTCTTCATGCGTGTGTAGAACTCTTCATAACGCCTGAGGGCTCTATATCCTTTGTATCAGCCGGTCATTGTAATAAAACTGGGAGACAGACAGGGCAAGTGTTTTCATCTCAGCTCTGTCATTGTCTTGCTGTGTAATTTGGGCAAGTTATTATCCACTACCTTTTTCCCCCATCTGTAAAAGAGGGATGATAATACCATTTTTGTAGAATCATAAGCATTAAATACAGTAACGCCTGGGACATGGAAAGTGCTCCATAAGTATTATCTGTTATTTTCATCTTGCAGATAAAGAAATGTTCTTAATTTAGTGACTTGCTGATGATTATAAAGTTAGTTCACTGTTTTATTCCAAGTTTTCTCCCGTTAATAATAGAAATGTTGGTAAAATCAGTGATACAAAATTAGGTGAAATGGCCAGCATCTTGGAAAATTAAAGTTTTAATCATGACAAATTAGACAAAGAATTGAGTTAGTATAAATGTGATGAAATGAGTGTGATTCACTGTGGGAACAAAAGTAATTCAAGATGATAGAGGACTGATTTTATTTTTTCAAGAAAGTCAAACATAATTTTGGGGTCATGGCCAACTACCAATTTTAGCATGTTGATACTAAAGGCTTTCAAATTCATAGCAAAAGCATGATTAAACGGCAACATAAACCTTTAGAAAGTTTGAAGCAATTTTCTTTTCATATGAGATTTTAGTCAGACATTTGCTCTTTGAAACAAATAAGAAGATTGGGAAACTTGGTTTGTAAACCACTTCCAGCTCTTGGCTTAGTTTTATTTGTGCTATTGTGAAGTATCAGAAGGTGGAGTACATCTTTAGTATTTTCAGATTTAACATTTGCATTTTCGATGTGGATGAGTTCCCTGAAGGTTATGCAGTTATTTGTGATTTTTCTGAGACTAAATGTATTCATTCCCCTTTGCACTGAAAGCTGGTCACTTAGGTAATGAATGAGCCTCACTGACTCCACAATATCCATATCTTACCCTGATTTTGTTATTTTTCACTTTGATGTTGTGATAAAAGCATTAAAGTTTGGGAGGTGGTGGTGGGAATGGCCTTGGAATAAAACTTGGGTAATTTTTTTTTTTTTTAAAGTTTTTTAAGTAATCTCTATATGCAACGTGAGGCTGGAATGCATGACTCTGAGGTCAAGAGTTGCATGACCCTCTGACTGAGCCAGCCAGGCGCCCCCGGGTATTCTTTAGAGTCTACTAGATATATATCCTTCTGGAATGTTGCAGTAGAATTAGAGCTGCTTCTAAAATCTCAAATGACAAGACCTGAAAAAGTCTTGATACTATGGGTGGGAATGTTACTCCATGAAAGTAGAACTTTTCCTCTATAAGCTGAAATAGGATTCTGCCCCCACCCACACCCCGCTGCCTTTTTCTGAGATTCAGTTTGAGAATGATTTTATTATTACTATCATTATTATTACTGAACATAGGGGAGAAATAGGGATTTTAAGAATGTCTGTGCATCCTGAAAATGTTCATTCTTAAAATGTTTAGAGGCGGTCCTTTTTTTCTTCCAAAAATTAAAGATAAGACCTGTTTCTTCTTTCACTTCTATTTCTGTGTCTCTTTTCTGGGTACAATATGATAAAATTGAAAGCTTTCTTTCCTTATTTGTTTCCTTTATTCAATGCATTTTTATATGTCGGAAACTGGGCATACAGTATTTTCTAGAGAAGTACACATCAGCTTCTGAACTTTAGTTCCCTCATCTGTAAAATAGGGGACAATCATCTACCCTGTAAGACTAAGTGTTACAGGTAATATTTATAAAAATGCCTACCTAATACCTGACACACAGACGCATAAAAAGGGTTGATGGTGGCCATGGTAGGGGAGTAATAAAGAGTATATAGCATGGCTAAGAGTGCCCCTAGCTGTCATTGGTAGGCATCAGACATCGCTGGACCAAATAAGACAGTTGAGGAGAAATTACAGGTTTGAGTTAACCTGTATATCATATCTCTGGCCTAGAGCGCACTAAACATTCCTGTGAGGAAATCACTATGGGAAAACCACAGCACAGCACAGTAAGTGGAGTGTAAAAAATTAAATCACATAAAATGCAGAGTTGCATTATTGCAAGGTCAGTGAAATGTCTGCAGCCAGCCTGTATGATTAGCGCCATGAATTCTGGAATAGGTTCTGGGAGCCAGGCTGCTTGATCCACGGACAGCCTCTTCCCTACTGAAGTTTGTCAGCCCCTGGTGGTAGGTGTCTGCTCCATTTTAACCATCAGTGGGTAGCCACAGGGCTGACTGGGATGCATGGGACAGCAGCATTGATGATAGTAATTGTTTTTGTTACCCTAGGGCCTGTTTATGGGCCCAGTTGAGGGAAGATCAGCTGGGAGACTACATCTG